TTTATAACGTGTCGCCGTTTGTGCGCCGGCGATGGTGATGCACGGCCGCGGCCGAACGAAGAAACGCTGATTAAAAGGCGAAGGTAGCGAGCGTATGGTATACACCAAGGACCGAGGAGGATCCCGCTGATAAATGCATCGGTAATACGTACAGGCGAGGGGGCTCGTGGAGCGATTTTAGCGCTTAACCCTTTCGGTACGAGCGCCGGATATATCCGGCATCCATCCGATGACCAATATGGTCATATGGTCCATGTAAGCCATACAGGGTTCCCCGGAAAGAATCATCCGATTTCAAAAATTTATATTTTAAAAAATTACACACAGAAAATTATAATTCAAACACGAATATAACGGGAAAATGTGCGAGTTTTACTTTTTATTATTTTTTTCTCATGTACCAAACCGTTGGATTGGTCGCAGTTCATCCGATAATATGGTTCTCCACAATTGGCCTCCGAGATCACCCGACCTAACCGCATGCGACTTCTTCCTTTGGGGATTTGTGAAGGATCTTGTCTTTGTACCACACCTTTACCTACAAGTGTAAATGAACTGAAAAAACGCATTTGTGATGCTGTACAAACAATTACCAGAGATACATTACACCGTGTTTGGCAAGAACTTTCATATCGCAATGATATCATACGTGTAACGAAAGGAAGTCATATTGAACACTTGTAAACAAAAACTCACACATTTTCCCGTTATATTCGTGTTCGAATTATAATTTTCTGTGTGTAATTTTTTAAAATATACATTTTTGAAATCGGATGATTCTTTCCGGGGAACCCTGTATTTCTGTAGGCCCTTTACAGAATGTTTACAGGAAACATTTAAAGAAAGATTTAGAAACGGATTAAGCACAGTCATTACTTCACGCTTAGGAAAATCTCCGTACAAAAGTGGACTGACCCTGCGTTATGTGCGCATTTTCGACGCGGCACCCCGTACGGTGGGAGTGTCACGGCGGACAACGCGCTCGTACCGAAAGGGTTAAACGTCTCGACGGCGAAACCGATCCCGCTGGAAAACTTTCTCTTCGGTTTTCCAGAAGTTCGTCGAATTTTTCTTGGGAGAACTTGAACTCGCGAAACCTTTTATCTCGCTAAATTTGTTCCAGAGTCGGATAAGGGATTTAAACCTGGCAGGAGGACAGCCTCGAGAGCCGTGGAGCTGCAAGAAGCCGCGGCTAGCCGGACCCAAATAAAAATCCCGTACAAACGTTGGCCGGCTCGGCTCGTCTCGGCTCGGCGCGGCGCGGCGCGGCGCGGCGCATCGCGCAGTATATCAGCCCTGAAAAGAATGTCCCTACGCTCGACGAATCGCTAAGAAAATTAATGGCTCGTGCTTTGCATTCCCGAGAGAAGCTTCGAATACCGAAGCGACTTCGGAATAGCCTTCCAGGTCCTGGCAACGGACGAGTCACCGGTGTCACCAGGCGGCTACCGGTGATCCTCGATCGTCGCGGTTTCCCGAGCATGTACACTGTTCACGTTTTATTCATTAGCGGACGCGCTCGCCGCTGTGTCACGCCCGCTGATCAATTATTTTCAGCGACTCGCCCACGGAACCGATGCGGCGACGCCTTTCGGGGAGATTCGAGAAGTCCTCGACAAAGTCCTCGAGTTTCTACGGTCCGCGGAAAACTCCATTGGAACCGTTTCGCTGCTGTCGATCGAATAAAATCGAAGTGCATACATACTGAAATCTCTGTTCCCGATGACGCTTTCGAAAGAAGCGGCAAGTTTATCGACAGAAATTAAACCCTGACCTTCGTCGCGACTAGCATAACTTTTGGAGAGAAAAAAAACGAAGCACGCTGCTTCTCGATTCGCCAGGTCGCAACGCCGCCCTTTGAAACCTCATTATGCTCATCGAGATTTAGTGCGACCGATCCTCCTTACAGGACTCTTCAAGTTGTTAACGACGATAGCGACAAACTAGACATATTCGCAGTCGATACCACAATGTTCGCGACGTATATTTCCATAAACCGTTCGCCTCAACCGCTGATTCGCAGATTCTGTATTATATTGACTTTTAGTTCTGTATCGTAAAGAAATAGGTTTTTATACGTACATATAAATTAAATTGAGAATTAAATCATCGCGATTGACTTTCGCGAACGGCGTCGATAGAAAAATCAAGGTCATGTGTCGCTTGTCTATGCTTTTCCCGCGGCCGGAGACCCGTAATACTTTCGCGTCACGTACGGGCACGTTTTCAAGGGATAGAGACACCCGTCGCGTCGCGAGTCCACGAGTCGCCGCGCCGCGCCGTGCCGCGCCGCGCGCCAGTAGAAGGTCAAGAAATCCAAGTACACCTTTTGTCCTCGTGTCGCTTTTAAAAATGTCCGTCCAATGTGCCGAACCGACGGGTGCCATTGAACCCGAGGAGGCCGCGAGAGACGGCACGGCATGGCTCGGCTCGATGCATCACCCGGGGAATGGGGAACAGGTTTCGAATACAGAATCCCTGAATCCGTCCCGGGATAATAGAAACCGACGGAGCTCGCCGAATTGCCATGGTTAACCCGTGTCGCGGAATTAATTGCGCGGAGGGCCGTGCCCTATCAATTAACGCGACCGTTTCTCTATTCGACCATGGCTGTGACTCCCGAGGCTCAAGGCCGACGCGCCGCGCGCCACGAGCGATCGGAACAAAAGATTTCGGGTCGAGCGGCCTAAGTGCCTCGAACGTCTACGAACGCGCGGCTTCGGCCGCTCTCGTGTTGCCACGGATGACTCAACGTCTTCTGCGGTATCGAGTCGTTTCGCGGAACGCGAAACGCGGAGAAGGAGGCGAGACGCGGACGGAATTCTTTTTTTGTTTTTGTTTTTTTTCGAGCGTGCCATTTCACAAGCCTTATCGAAATCGGCGTGCGTCGCGAAAATGCAAATATCGGCGGCAGCTCCGAATCGTTCGAGCTTTTTATGGAGATTCCCGAGCCACGATTGTCGCAACTGCCTCGGCCGCGGAAAACCGGTGAACTTCTGGCGAGCTATCGCGCCAGATAAGTCGTCGCCGGAGTCGGAGCACACGGACGCCGCAGCTGCGGCGAGCATTCCGGAGGCGTTGTTTAATTAACCGACTTCGCGCCGCTCGTTGTTCAAGAACCATCGGGCGGTTCCGATCGGTTTCGTTGATTTCTCCTCTTTCCGGTTTCGCGGAGTCCCGCGATTCCGCGTGCCCCCCCCCCCCCCCCCCCC